GTGAGAAACTTGTACGAATCGATAAATCGCAATTTGACGCACGTTTTCTTATCTTTATCTTCGGTGCTTTGAACGTTTTTTGTAAACGAAATATATTTTTCGTTTGTGATCGGAAGTAAATCTACATGTCCTTCGTATGCTGTTGCTATTTCAGTTATAATAAAATGTGCATCGTATCCCGATAAATTATGAAACACTATGGGAATGCAATGCGAATCTTTATAGTTTAAGTTACAATTCGAATGCGCGGGACCTCTGTATCGACCGGTCAGGTGACAATGGTCGCGTACTCGCACGTCGTCTGGCTCGAACGGTTCTTCGCACACGTGACAGTGCGTTGCGCTGTTAAACTTTTCCCACTCGTCTCGCGTGAAATCTGCCATGGGTACATTAGTGGACAAAATGGTCTTTACGTCGTGAGCTAAACGTCTTAGCTCCTCGGCGAACCACGCAACGCAATTCTTATCGCGACGAAACCGATATATAGATAACGACTCGTCGTACGAGCAACGCACGTAGTACCCTATGCTAAACACGCGATGATGTTGATATGTGTACCTGGACGTTTCCGGATCCGTTTCCATCTTCTCCAGGGTACACTCCAGGTCGGCGTATACGACAAACGGAACTCGTTCCTTCCTGTTGTGATTTTTAAAGGCCAACCACTTGTCGTTATCGCTCGGTAACTTGATCGCGCAGTCATTCATCTCCTGACAGTCGACGGTGTGGGCAGCCAATTTCTCGTTGGAGCTGAAGTAGTGCAAACATCTGCAAAAAAAAATAAACGCAAATATTATAAATTTTTTTTATACACAAAATATTATTAAAAGAACTATAGTTCGGTACTTACCGATCGCAAAAGTATTTTTTGTTCGTATTCTTGCTCAATTGCGAGCTCACGAGGCGGGATAGGTTCTTGATCCACGCAAAATGTCCCACGTTGTCGTTATGCACGTACAGCAGATTTACGTGTCTGTCCATCTTTCGGTCAGTAACCCGTATTGGCAAGATAGCAAGTTTCTTGTTTTTTTTCTCGATGCTAAACACGTTGATGGAGATGTTGTTGTGATTTTCAAATTTTTTAATTTGATCCAACGTCATTGGAAACTTAATGTCCGTAAGATCTAGCACCGACGTGTAATGTGGATACGACGATTCCAGATCTGCGTGTCTCTCGGCTGGATGTAGAGCAGCCACCACTGACCATGCAAAACATGCATTGTCCATTGATCGCACGTTTATCACCGCCTTCTTCTTTTTAATTTCTTGCGGTATTTCCACAAAACACCCCGCGTGCAATGGATTGTATTTGTTCACGTTTACCATTAAATTGAGTATACGCGACAACGCCCATCCGCTATCACGTTCCTGGAATTCCTCCAGCTTTGCTAAGGTAGGCTCGATGACGTGTTGCTTGTACCACTCGTGCAGATTGGACTCACGAAAGAGTTCATAGTTTCTCGTTGCGATACTTTTATTTGCGCGTTTGTCACCCGCAACAAATTCACCATTAAACACTGTGTTAATTTTTACATTGTCATGTCGTTGCATGACGTTCTGCACACGATCGAGTACAATTTCTCCCGCATTTTTGAGAAATTGACGAGGGTCGATGTGTTTGGAATTTATCACCGCACCAGTCAATATACGAATTTTAAAAGCCGTATCTATCTCGCGCCATCTGAGTCCTGTCGCACTCGCACTGTATCCAGCACCCACATGTACGAAACGTTGACGTACCGAGTCTTTCAAACCTTCGAGTCTTGCGATACAAGCGACCAATGACTGTTTGAGACCGATCGATGACTGATCGATTGATAATCGTGGCCGTTTAATTCGGCTTTGTTCTTCCAACGATTCGATAAACTCGTCACATCGTTGCTCCCACGCGGCAAAGTCTTCCCTCGAATTTAACAGGGTGGATTGCTCCAACAACTCCTGCTCCATGTTATTACACGATCCTCTTGCTAACGCCATTTGTTGCACTCACGACTTCCAGTTCTCGACTATTGAGCGTATCCCCTAGATTCGTCATTTTATATTCTACTAATGATGCATCGTTTGCTTATCATATCTAATTTCATCTCAGCAGCCGTACATCGGCGCTATTTGCAAAATTTGCAGTTTTGCACGTGTTCGATGAAATCATTGCGAGACACGTACGTTCACGAAAACGCGCCACTGACTTTTGGTAATTTGATCTGTATCAATGAAGCAGCCGTACATCGGCGCTATTTGCAGTTTTGCACGTGTTCGATGAAATCATCGCGAGACATGTCGCGACATGTTTTTCAAAACAATAACGCTCCATTGAATTATGCGAAATTGCAAATTTTGCAGTTTTGCACGTGTTCGATAAAATCATCGCGAGACACGTCGCGACATGTTCTTGAAAACAATAACGCTCCATTAACTTATGCGAAATTGCAAAATTTGCAGTTTTGCACGTGTTCGATGAAATCATCGCGAGACACGTATGTTCTTGAAAAGAAATCATATTTGATGCCCGATGAGGTGATCTCATCACGAATGTTCTTGACAAAGATATCACATTTAACGTATATGTGGATTGTGGTGGCGGTCACCATGCAACAGCCGTGCATTGGCGCTATTTTTGCAAGATTTGCAGTTTTCGGTATGTATAAATGGTCTACGAGGATTCTAGAGCGCAGTCGAGAGTTCGATACGGTTCGAGTACGTCGCAAACAGCCTCCAGATACGATGAACATTCACGGTGTGAACTACTACGTTCCGATTCAGGACGAAACGTGCGAGAAACAGCACAATGAGTATGTACCGATAATTTTTATATATACTTGTGCAAAAAAAATTTTATAAACATATAATTGTATTTTTCAGTTTTTATAAACCCCGCTACACGCCACGTATTTTGGGAAGAAGATTTGCCTTGACATCAACAGCGTATAAATTTTTGGATGTTGGAATCAACGCGGGACCTATGTCCTCTGTGGATATACTTATTGGCGATAACCGAGGCAATCGGATAATTCTGCTACATGCAACGTGGGTGACATTCATCGAAAAACGTGCAGATATACAGCGCATCGTGCAGTCATTGGCACCATCATCGCTAACGTTTCGAGATCTGGAGCTTGTTAAAATACGTGACGCAGATATTGTAAAATTGACGTCGTGCGGCACCAGCTTGTACATGAAACCGTCAACTGTACTCTTCCTGTTCGAACTAGAACATTGCGTCGAGAATGTGTATTTACAACTATGTCAAAATGTTCACGGCGTAAATGAAAAATTCAAACAGTTTGTAACAATTTTACGTCAAAATTGTATCACTGATAAATGTAACGCAGTTACAATCTTGCGTGACGTTTATGATAAAAATTCGATTATTGATTGCGAATTATTAGCCTACGCTTTGGATACTATTGTGTATAATGCGCTACATGATAAATAAATGCATATAATATGGTTAAAAAGTTTTTCCTTTTCATTTACCGTTCATCCCATTTCCTGTCATAAAACTGTCTTCGTTTATCGTTTACTTAAATGTAATATTAAAAATTAAATTTCGCGAAAATCTGAACGATTAAATATCGTTGGCGAAGAAAAGATACGCGATCGCGAGCGGGAACGCGCGAGGGAAAGAGACCGCGCGAACGAGAAGACTCGCGCAAACGGGGGGACGGGGCGCGAGACACCGCGCAAACGAGAAGACGAATGGGGGGACGGGAAAGAAACATCTACGAGGGGGAGATAACGCGAACGTGCCGTGTGACGTCACGCGGACTCCTCGGCGCGGCGAAACGCGAACGCGGGTCCCCTCGCCCCGCGGCGCCCAAAAACGCGAACGCTCCGCGGCGCGGCGGAAACGCGGACCCCCTCGCCCCGCGGCGCGGCGGAAACGAGGTCGCTCCACGGCGCCGGAAAACGCGGACCCCCTCACCCCGCGGCGCCGGAAAACGCGGACCCCCCTCGCCTCGCGGCGCCGAAAAACGCGGACCCCCTCGCCTCGCGGCGCCGGAAAACGCGGTCCCCCCCTTCCCCTCCCCCGCGGTGTCCAAAACACGCGGTTCCCCCTTCCCCCTCCCCCGCGACGCCCGAAACATGCGGTTCCCCCCTCCCCCT